TTTGTTGAGAAATGAAAAAGTTACAGGGGGTCCGGCTGGCTAGAGGTTGAAGATGAAGTACAGGGCAAGGCAATGTTTTGTGTTATGTATTTGTGTTTTCACTTAGACTAACGGATGTACAGCCACTCAAATGGTAAGGCAGCGCGCAAAAATGCCCTAGGTCACGGGTTCGAGCTTTGGCGCTGCCTTTTGCAATTTTTCCATATTTTTCCACCTTTTTTTGTTGTTTTGCAGCATGGGCTTCAGTTCTCGGGCCTCTTATTTTTTGCTAATATGCTACTTCCAGTTTACTCATGACACCCCTGGCCCAAATATTTTATTTACTTATTTTATTTTTATTTTATCAAATATATTTTCTTAATCATAAAAAATATAAAAATGATAAATATTATTTTTTTATTTTATTTTATTTTCTCATAAAAAATATTTATTTTTTTATTTAAGTTATATATTATCTTTTTTAATAAACTTGTAAATTAAAATAGAATTAGGTTAAATATTTATTTTTCTTCACACCTATTAAATATTTATTTTAACATATAAAAAGACCAAAATACTTCATAAATACCATATATTATTTTCAAGACAAAAATACAAAAATACAAAAATACTTAAAGAAATTTATCTCCTTTTAATAAATTAGAATTAGGGTTTAATCAAAATATTTTCTAAAAATAATTCCATTCCTTAATTAATTTAAGTTTAATCTTGATTTATTTATTAGGCTTAGGTTAAAACTTTTTTACATAAAAAAAAAAAGGAACCAAACAAAATCTTCTTTTTTATTTACATATCTTTGCATATTTAAATTATCTTATACATTATTTATTCTAATACTTGTATAAATTCAATTGGTTGTAATAGATTATTTAAGTTTATATTATTGTAATCCCCATTCATCAATTGTATGCCTCCCTCCTACAAAATGTTGTAATAGCGTAGTAATCTTTAAATTTCGCAATTTATCGCTTTACATAACATGTTAGTAATTAGGGTTTGCATGGCAAGATAAATCAACCAAATAGAAAACCCTAATCCAAGACAAAATGAAGCATGAAAATGATACACTTGCACACAAGCACCTCTAGGGTTATTCCACTTGGTTGCCTTGTACAAAAATGATCATATTACACATGTGATGTATCTTAGCAAAACAAACAAACATAAGATCATAGTCCCTCGATGACGCTATTCAAAGTTATCTTACAAAAATGATCTTAGTCTCTCAAAAAATGCTAAGATACTTTGCAACGTTGCTAATCATGGCTATACGATAACCCACGTCCGTCCCGTTTACATCCAAAGATAGGGTTGTTTACCAAATCAATGGTAAAACAACAATATTAAAAGGAAAAGAAAATGAACAAGAAAGACATTTGAGTAGGTAGATTACTCCTAGTTACTTGCTCCATTTCAAAACAAATATCATTGCTATTTTCAAAACAAACACCTACACACTTTCAAACATCTTACAAACATTGAAAACATTTTCAAAAAGACAAACATCTTTGTATACATTCTTACGAACGAGAATCATTACAAAGATTTCCTAAACAATGGCATCTTTTACAAAATACTTTCAAAACCACACCAAACACAATTTCAAACAACAAAAGCAAGTGATCTAGCAAGTAACTAAGATTCCATGAAAAACCATGGATGGAAAGGGTGTTAATATCTTCCCTTTTCATAATCTATCACCCGAACTCAAGAAACAATCTCAAAGGTCTTTCCTGTCCTTTTTCACCTTTCCTTTTAGATAAAAGAAAAGTCGGTGGTAACTCTTGCTAAACTGCAACATTTGCAACAAAACGCAAAATCTCAAGTCAGTTCTCCCACTGTATCACAGTCATACTTTCACTTGGTAGTGAAAGAAGTGGATGAGTCATCCCTCAAATATAAAATATAAGAGACATGGTTAACCCATTAATGGAAGTTGAAACTCACTACAAGAAATATCATCTTCAGCTACGTGTTTTTGCCACGTGATTATCATGTGGCTAAAAAAAGCCAGTTGCTATGTGATAATCACGTGGCAACATGTTTTATTAATAAAATAAAGAAGCATGATGGTTGTCTGAGTTTTTTTATAAAAAAAAATGTTGCGACGTGGGAATCACATCGTTAGTAAAAATATAATATAAAATATTTTAATTGGTCTAACATTCAGATTGAGAGATTTTTGAAATTTTGAAAAAGTCAGTTGTGACATGGTATTCACGTCGCAACATTTAAGAGGGAAAATCAAATTAATTTAGACTGGCATGATCAGCTTTTGCAGGCATGTGAAGAAAGAGAATATGACCGTTGGCATTGTTGCGACGTAAAAGTCACGTGGCAAAGTTGCGGCGTGATTTTCACGTCGCTAAATGGTTTATATATTTAATTAAATCATGTTACACCAAGCACAAGACAGTAGTATATTTTTAACAAACACAACTCTCCCTCTCTCATTCCATCCCAATCTCCATTAACCCTCTTCTTTTTCATAAAATTCAACTCAATCTCCATTATAAAACCTCTTCTTTTTCATAAAATTCAACTTCAATCTCCATTAATTCTTGTTTTTCAGGTAAATTTAATTTATTTTTGTCTCTATTTTGTTTACAAGTTTTTATTTATTATATTATGTGATTGTAATTTATTTTAATTTTTCTTTGAATAGAAGAAGATTGATATAGTAGAAGTAGATTGCAAAAAGGTTGGACAAGAAGATTGAAGGAGTTAGAAGAGAAGAGATATTTCTTGGGAAAAAAATTTACATTTGGTATATTTTCTTAATTTAGTTAGATTTTAGGTTGAATTTGATTAAATTATAATATTGTAATTTTCATTAAATATAATTTTAAAAAATGAGAATATATATTATATAGGTACTTCTTGTTAAAAAACGAAAATATATATAAATAAATATTTATTAATAAACAAAAATATATATTATGATAAGTTATATATCTTGATTTATTTAATTTATTTACTATAAAAAACAAAACAAAAATAGAATAATATATAAATTTTATAAAAACAGTTTTAATGTTAATATATATTTTATTTAAAACAAATATAATATAATATTTTATGTATTGATTAAAAATATATATAGAAAAAATAGTTTTTTGTATTGAATAAAAACATATTTAAAAAACTGTTTTAATATGTATATATTTAGTAAAAATTGTTTAATGTTATTATTATAAAATATGTTTTATAATTAAAATATATATATATATTTAATGTTATTATTTTAAAACTCTTTTATAATTATGTATATATAAAAAATAATATAATATTATAAAAAACAGTATATATTTGATGTTAATATATTTTTTAAAAATAAATATAATATTATATTTTATGTAGAATGTTAATAAAAATGGTTTTATAATTAAAAAAAATTATATAAAAACTGTATTATATATTAATAAAAAATATTTATATATCATATATATAGAATGTTAATAAAAATTATTTTATAATTAAAAAATTATATAAAAACAGTATTATCTGTTAATAAAAAACGGTTTTATAATTAAAAAATATTATATAAAAACTATATTATATGTCAATAAAACATTAATATAGTATGTTAAAAAATATTATATGTCAATAAAATATTATATATAGTATGTTATAAAATATTATATATAAAAAACTGGTTTATATATTTAATTATTATATATTATATGTATGTTAATAAAAATGGTTTTATAATTAAAAATTGTTTTATAAAAACTCTATTATATATAAAAAATATTATATTAATTAATTATATATTTAATAAACTATATTAATAATATATTTAATAATATATAATAAAAAACATTATATATTAAAAATAATTAAAATAAAAGTATATGTTTATGTTTAATAATATATATACATAGTATATTAAATTTTAGTTTATTAATTTTATTATATTAAATATATTAATTTATATATTTTAATATATTTAATTTTATTTTTGATAATTTGACTTATAATATTGAATTTAATAATAAATTATAATATTTAATTTATAAATTTAATGAAACAGAAAATAATATTAATTATTAAATCAGAATTATTATATTTAAAACAGAAAAAAAAAATTAAATAAGTTGCGACGTGTTTTCCACATCACAAATTAGTGACATAAAAAACACGCCGCAACACACAACGTAAAAGTGAATATAAAATCTGCTCTAACCTCTACTCTGACTGTCTTTGACCTCATAAAATTTATTGCGGCGTGAATTTCACGTGACAACGTTGTGACATGTTTCTCACGTCGCAACAACATTGCCACAGGTTCTCCAGCTAAGTGTTTCTTCACGTGACAAAAACAAAATTGTGACATAATTTTGATGTTAGCGACGTAGAAGTCACGTGCCAACACACAACTTATTTTATAGTGACTCTTAGATTAACCGAGAAATTCTCATTAGTCCCGCAAACGTGACTGACACGTCAAACCTTATAAAGCAGGGGGCATGGCCCCAGTGTCTGCAACATGGCCTCACCTACTTTTCTACGGTACTCTCTACTCAACTTACGAGTTGATGATCTATTTATCTTAATCTTTAATACTCATTAGACTAAGATTATAACATAATAGTCCACAGTTTCTCATACATAATATTTTTTATTTATAAATATTTTCACACATAATCTTGTATGGGGGCAAAGTGGTTAAGACAAGCTATAACGGTCCAAAATAGTATTTACTACCACAAAATTCCTAGTTAAAAAGAAGCACAACAAAATTTATATTTACAATTTCAACATTAGAATATTGGAGCATGTCAATATGTCCATGAAATCCTCTCTTTATAAGTTGACGACATCATTCCAAATAGCAAACAGAAAAATAAAGCAAATTCCTTTTGCTATGTATCCCAATGTTTATGTTTCTAAAGTTGTATCTTCTCAAAATGCTCCACACTGTATATGAAGTTTAAAGTTTTGTGTATCTCAAAAACAAAACTCATGAAGGAAATCATTACATCTGCTTTCCAAGCCGTCTAGTTGTCATTCTTAGACCTTGTTTGCTGAAACTTTGTAGGTTTCTTCTGAAACACAAACAAATTGACTAAATTAGACTAGAATAGACGATAAGTTATTCCATAGACTAACACATAGTATATGCTCAAATATAAAACGTAAAGAGAAAGGAAAGAACCAAAAGATATATTTCTTCCGTCTCAAAATAATAATTGTTTAAGATTCATATATTAAGAAATAATGATTGAGTTAATAAAAATAATATTTTTATAAAATTATCCTTTATTTATTGATTATAGTACATTGTCATATTTGAAAAGAGTGTATATAAGAAGTACAATTAACGAAAGTTAATTATAATTATATTAGAAAAATAAAGAGACTATTATTTTGAGACAATTTTTTAAAATTAAAAAGATAATTATTTTAAGACAGAGTGTAGTATTTGTTCCATTGGAACATAGAGTGATTTATCCTATGGTTAATATTAAGTACTAGCTAGAATGACTATGACTGAACACATGAAGGAACTTCTAGAATGAACCATAATAGTTCATAACCCATTAGATATAATATTATTATTTTATTAATACATTTAAAACACTACCACTGGATCAAATATCACATACATCTTAGATCTGGATCAAGTTTCATATTTCCCCTAGTTCATTCTTCTATTGCAAAAAACAAAAACTCTAATACAATGATAGGTGATTGAAAATTGAAAATTTATTGACCCATTGAATAAGAAAATGTGGTGCATCAACAAGTGATCAATAAGAATTCTATTGTATTTGTACTCAGTCAAAGCATAAAAACACTCATCAGCATAGAGTTTAAAGAAACATAGTATTGCTAAATAATTAATGTTCGTCGTTTTTTAAGCATCACTTCCTCAAATACAATACAACTTCAAAATTACTAGTGACCAGAATAACTAGAAAGAAATTATTTGCACCTTTGCTCTGTAAGACTTGATGGCCGAAATCAGCAACTTATCTCCAGCAATTTGTCTCACTTTTTGTATCAATTCATGTCGTGAAATCTTCCTTTCCTGCAAGAATCAGAGCAAGCAATCAACAACAACAATCAAGTCTTATCTCACTAAAGACGTCGACTACATGGATCAACTCCCTCCTTAAAGTTCTATCCAGTATCATATTTCTATTCAAATCATTAAAAAATAATATGCAAGTAGGAAACTAAACAAACAGACAAACAGTTTACCTTTTTAGCTTTGTAGAACTTGGAAATCAAAGCAATATCAAGCGATGGCAAATCTTTGGAGAGCACAGAAATTAAATTTTGAAACGGCATCCAAGGTGAAGTTGGTCTCACATGTTCTTCTTCATTCATCTCAATCCCTACACACACAAAAAAAAAAAGAAAAACATCAATTATTAAATTCATAAGAGAACAATAAAAAAAAACACATGAATAAAATGTTGAAAAACACATAAACACAAACCTTTGAATGAAGGAACCCTGAAGCTTATAACATAAGCAGGCCAAACATGAGTGTTCATTCTACTACTCCAAATCATGTACTTCGTTGGAGCTGAAAAACTATCCACACCAGAATCATAATTCTCACTACTAGGATAACATTGTTTGGTGTCAGGCTTCACAATCTCCGTTCTTCCTAAAATCACCCTACACAAAATCAAATGCCTCACACCATCTCTTCCAACAAAACAACTTTTCACACTGCAAAGACACAAATTTCAAAACTCCATCAATAAAAATAACTTCAAAATCGAACACACAATCACTTAAATACAGTAATAATCAAATATTGGAGAAGGAACGAAAGGAACCTTTGGAGAGGAGAATCATCTGGAGAGAGACACAGGCTTTGACCGTGGACATGACTAAAACCGTTTGAAAGAATGTCTCTTACGTCATTCTCACAGGAAGTTCCGTACCAAGCGTATTTCACGTTCGAATCTCCACCGCGAAGTTTAGAAACAGCTCCTGCATAAACGTGAAAGGATTGAAGGCGCGCTTGTGAAACGACGTCGGAACAGGCGTTTCTGTGAACGGCGAGAATCTCGGTTTGGTTCGCAAGTAAACCGAGTCCGCGAAGGAATCTGGTCTTTATAAGGTCATGAACAACATCGCCTTCTCCAAGCCTAACTAAAAACGAGTCGGAATTCAGTTGTAACTCTCTGGTGTTGCCGGAAACACCGCTCTCGCAATCGGAAACAGTGGAGGAGTCTTCGGCATGAAGATCGTGCATCTCTTGTTGTTGAGGGAATGCTGAAGTTGAATCCATAGTATAAAAGGTGCAAGACTTGGTGCGTAAGAAAAGAAATGAAAGCAGAAGAGTTAACAGAGTTGGTAGTTATTGTTATTAGTATATAGGATTAGGATTAGGATTATGATTATGATTTGGGATGGGATTGCGACGATGAGAAGAGTGTGAGTGAGAGAGTGGAGAAAGAAAATGATGTTAAAAAGGGATGAAACAGGGAACGCAATTTAACCGCCAAATGGAAATTGGAAGTTTGCGATGGGCGGTGCACAGAGTGGCGCTGCTTGTTTTGTTTTAGAGACAGAGTAACTTACCGCTTATAGCCTGTTGATTTGGAATTTAGAATGGCGGTACCAACAATCAGGGATTTGAGAGAAGGTAGTTTCTATTTATATATTTATTTATTATATTTACGTGTCCTGTTCCGACTTGCTCAACAATTTATATTTTTCTTACACTCCTTTATTTTTTATGAGATACTATTTTTATTTGTTATACTACTGTATTGGTTGGTTAGTCGGTTAAAAACGCAAGCATTTCTAAGCGGGTTTTGCTTTATGATTTGGAACGCAAGTAAGCGAAGCCGTATACTATTATATTGATAATTATTGTTGAAAAATAATTTATATTTGGAAGATGTTGTTATTTAAAAGTGGTAAAATTTTTGAGGTTGTTAGTTAAAATGTAAGTTTTTGAAACTGTTTAGTTAGAAGCAGTAGTTTGATTTAATCAGAAGTTGTTATTAATCAGAAGTAAAAACTCTTGAGATTACGCTCAGAAATATGCTTAGCTTCTGGGATTATGGGTTCTGAGTTTGTTAGGGTAGTTTTTAAGTTTAGTATTTCTTAGTTTGTACCTTTTAATTTAGTCATTAAGTTTACTTTTGTTAGGGCCTAAGTTTACTTTTGGTATCTAGAGCTCCGGTTGGATTCACGGAAAACACGAGCGAAACAGTGAGGCATTGTGTGATTGATTTTGGTTCTTGAATTCGTGTTGAATCTTGAACAAAATCGGAACAGAATCACATTTTTCTGATTATGTGGGATTGGGAAACACAATGTTTGTGAGATGTGAGTGTTCTGTACAAGGTTGAAGATGAACGGAAACGGTACTCTGAGTACCAAACTTCCAGTGTTCGATGGCAAGAACTGGAATCGTTGGATGATTCAGATGCGTGTGTTGTTCGGTGTTCAAGATGTTCTTGAGCTTGTTACCGAAGGTTATGTTCCAGTTACAGAAAACGCAACGGAAGAGTAGAGAAACGCAGAGACACAAGAGGAAGAAAGATCAGAAGGTATTGTTCTACATCCACCAGTGTGTGGATGTGAACGTGTTTGAGAAGATTGCAGATTCGACGATGTCAAAGAGCGCGTGGGATATACTGGTCAGATGTTATGGTGGTGACGCATCAGTGAAGAAGGTGAAGCTTCAGTCCCTACGAAAGAAATATGAGAATCTCAACATGAAAGACAACTAGAAGGTTTCTGAGTACATCTCTAGAGTGATTCTGATTACTAATGAGATGAAAGCTTGTGGAAAAACTCTTTCTGAATAAGTAATCATAGAAAAGGTATTAGGATCGCTTACTCAACATGAAAGACAACTAGAAGGTTTCTGAGTACATCTCTAGAGTGATTCTGATTACTAATGAGATGAAAGCTTGTGGAAAAACTCTTTCTGAATAAGTAATCATAGAAAAGGTATTAGGATCGCTTACTCCTTAATTTGATTACATTGTTGTAGCAATTAAACATTTTAAAGATCTGGAAACCATGGGAATAGAAGAGTTGCAAAGCAGTCTAAAAGCGCAAGAGTTGCGTCTGACTGAAAGAACTTTTGAGAGGGTAGTTGAGTATGCTCTGGAGGCTTCTTTTGTCAAGAAAGACCAGAAGCAGAAGATACATGGTGGTAGTTCTCAGAAGTCAGAAGTCTTCTATTCTGATGAAAATAAATATCAAAAGGGAAAGGAGAAGTATGACAAGAGAATGGTTCAATGTTACTGTTGTAATAGGTTTAGTCATTCTGCTAAAGATTGTTGGTCAAACAAAGAAGAAGCAAAAATAACAATAAAAGATTTAGATGATGAACATGTGCTATTGATGGCTTATGAATCTGATGAGGAACCGGTGAAATTGTCATTTTCTGATTCTGAAGCGGAAGAATATGACTCTGAATGTTCTGACTCTGAAGGAGTGTTTGAATATGAGTCAGAATCTAAAATTTCTGGAGATGAGTCAGAGTTAGAAGATGACTTTGAAGCTGAAGACAAGTCAGAATCCGAAAATGATTCTGAGTCTGAAGAAGAATCAGAAGATGAGTCAAAATCTGAAGAAGATTCTGCTTTTGAAGACGAGTCGGAATTTGAAAGTTCTGAAGAAGATCTAGAGTCAGAAGATGAAGAATCTTCTGAAGACTCTAAAGATGAGTCAGATGGTGAATCTGATTCTGATCCAGATTTTGAATCTGTTGGTGGTCATGTTTCTAGAAGGGAAAACTCTAAAGACGTAGGTTATGGAGAACAAGCTTCTAAAGATGATCATGTTTCTGGTGGAAATCATGACTCTAAGGATTGACCTTCTGAAGGAGGAGCTTCTAAAGTTAATCTAACCTTTGATGGTGATCATGATTATGAAAGTGAACCTTCTAAAGGCAGAGCTTCTGAAGGTGGTTCAACTTTTGAAGATGGTATTTCTAAAGGTAATGGTTTTGAACGAGGTCCAGAAGTTAACAAAGATGGAGCTTCTGATGGTAGTCAATCTTCTGAAGAAAGTCCAGAAGAAGATATTGTTCCAGAATCAGAAGGAGATTCTGAACAAGTTCAGAGGCCACATAGAGTCATAAATATACCAAGGAGATTTGCAGAGTTTGACAAGTTGCAAGATACTGAAAGACTCAGATATGGAGTGTTATTCCCTTCTGATGTTAGATCAGATGCAGTGCTGATATGTTATTCAGACTCTTATTTGTATGGAGACAGGGTTGACAGAAGAAATACTTCTGGATACTTTTGTTTGTATATGAAAAGTCATATTTCATGGTACTCCAAGAAGCAACTGGTGGTTGCGTTGTCAACCTACGAAGCTCTCAAGAAGAAAGCGCGGTTGAATGCCATGAAAGAAGAGTCGAATGCTATTGAAAGAAACAAGACTTGAGAGTTGACTGAGCTTCCGAAGGAGAAGAAAAATATTAGTGTCAGATGGGTTCTCAAGGAGAAATTTGCACTTCTAAATAGAATATTAGAAGTTGCACACTGTAGCAACCAGAAGCAACTTGCAGATGTTCTGACGAATGATGTCAAGACTGAACATTTTATTTGTTTGAGAGATGGAATTGGTGTTGAAGAGTTTGGTTAGTTGAATATGAATTAAGGGGATGATGTTGAAAGTAATTCATATTCAGAAGATGTTGTTATTCATAAGCAATAGAGCTTATGAAGTTGTTAGCCAGAAGTTGTAAGCTTCTGAGACTGCTTAGTTAGAAAAAGTAGTTTGATGTAATCAGAAATTGTTATTAATCAGAAGCAAAAACTTATGTAGTTACGCTCAGAAATATGCTTAGCTTATGGAGTTATGGATTCTGAGTTTATTAGCATAACAGTTAAGTTTAGTATTTCTTAGTTTATACATTTTAATTTAGTTATTAAGTTTATTTTTATTAAGGTTTACGTGACAATTTACTTTGTGTATAAATAAATTAGTAGTAGTTATCATTTGTAACATTTCAATCATTTATTTTGCAAACTTTATAGCCATCATTACAATAAATATATTCTCTCTTATATTTTCTTTATTTATTAATCTTACACCAACATTCAGATTTTAAATATACTTTTTAACAAACAATGATCTAAATTTAGTATTTTATTTATATATTTTCAAAAAGTAAATGTTTCTTTGAGACTAGGTTTCGATTATAAATAGCAACTGCGTAATATATAAGATAAAAAACAGACCACGAATTAATCAATTTTTTCTATACTTTATATTCTAATTTTTTCTCTTTGATTATGTAGAGAGAAAAAAAAATCATTCTAAACTTTAAGTCACTGCTTTCTAAATGTAGAGGGATAGGATACACTACATTCGGCATGTTTATGTATTTACACACTTGGAACTTTTTTTACCGTTAGATTTAGATCAAATGATTTAAAATAAAAATACATTAATTTTGTTTTATAATTTAAAATATTATTTTTAAATTTGATATGTCCTGTTACTATCAAACACTCCAACAACGTCATTGCATTGAATGTAGCTATACCATCACCCAATAAAAATTACTACTACTATGGGTGCGCATGGTTACCAAATTTTAAAATCATGGTTTCAATTTAGTTTAAAACCGGTTTAAATCGGTTTTCAATCAAAATTGATTTATAAGAAAATTGTATCTTTCTTAATTTGAAGAGATGAAAAAAATCCAGATTAATGAAGGGAACAAGATGCAAAGGCACGTGTTGTTTTTATACTATTATATTCAAACACCAGCACAAATCGCTTATCACAATTTTTTTGAAAAACAAAAAAGTAAAATTCAATTTAAGAGTAATAACATTACACTTTAATCCATGATAAAGTTGCACCAGAACACTAAAACTAAAACCCAAAAAAACTAAAACAAAACATCTTAAAACCAAGACAAAATCTTCTTCAAAACAATTGCTACACCATAACAGTTAAACAAAAAAACACAGATTAACAATCGTTCATCACAATTAACTTAATAAGTTCTTCTTCCCTTAACTAATCACCACTCTAATTAACTAATTAATAATAAATAAAATAAAATATATAAACTGATTTTCCATTTTCAATTTGAATATTATATAAATTGGTTTACACGAATTTGAATTTCCTGCGACTTAATAATACCTTATTCATTAATAATAATATCATATACATTTGGTTTTATGTATGACAACTGATTATGAAAAATGGAAACCAAATTTTTATTTTGATATCAAAATGGATCTGGAGCGGTTCACATCCAACACAAATTAAATTATAAAAATTGGTTCGTGT